AGCTGGGACCACAGGGGCCCGCCACAACACCTGGCTATTTTTTGGTAGCAGCCATCATTGTTTTGGCGGGCCTGGGCTGGATTCGAACCTGCCACCTTAGGTGTATGTGGCTGACACCTTAGCCACTTGAGCCACAGGCGCCAAACCTCAGCTTTTTAAATTAGTTAATTTATTTTTTGCGGTTTTTGGCCAGGGCTGGGTTTTAACCTTCCACCTCTGGCATATGGGTTTCAGCACCCTACTCCCTTGAGCCACAGGTGCTGCCCTGACCATTCAACTTTTATTGAGGTCTCAATGCCAATTTTATGTGGGAGGTCTATGAGTTAATGGAGAACTGAGCAAAGATTAGTCTTTGGGCCATTTGTGTCATGCATTAGCAATTGCATGAATACATAATGCTTTTTTTTCGTTATCTCCTTTTCCTTAATTGATAGTTAACTATACTTAGCCCATGCATTCTTTTTTTTCTTCTAGATAGAGTCTCACTTTGTCACCCCCAGTAGAGTACTTGGTGTCATAGCTCACAGCAACCTCAAACTCTTGGGCTCAAGTGATCCTCTGCCTCAGCCTCCTGTGTAGCTGGGAGTACAGGTGCCTGCCACAACACCTGGCTAGTTTATCTGTTTTTAGTAGAGATGGGGGTCACACTCTTGATCAGGCTGGTCTCAAACTCCTGGGCTCAGGCAATTCACCTGCCTCAGCCTCCCAGAGTGCTGGGATTATAGGCATGAGCCACTGCACCCAACTAGCACGTTCATCCTGAGAAACAATGAACATAACCTTAAGGTAAACAGGATATGCCCACATGCTTGGTTTGCCTTGCTCTTCCAGGGTCCCAAGGGCAAACCTGTAGGTCCCAGGTTTCCCTGTAGGGCAAACCACCTGAAGCTGATGCCCACGTTGGAAGCCAGGAGATAAAGAAGTCCTTTCTCTCATCTCTGCCCAAGAGGTCCTCCCTCTGTGTGGGGTTTGGTTGTGCACACGGTTCCAGTGACTTTTGTAACACCCACTTCTCCCAGGGTTTCTGGGAGAAGAAACCCCCTTCAGGGCTGGAGCCTTATCCCTTTACAGGGAGAGCCTCGCCCTCCAGGCTTGATCGATCACCTGTCAGGCCTTAGGGTGCTGCATGTTCACACAGCCATTTGCATTCCAGTGTCCCTGCACCATTTAACCTTTAAGCAGGCAAGTTGGAATCACTGTTTCCTTCCTCAAACCTGTTTTCTGCAAGAATTGCACAGACTTCTTGTTAGCAAAGCTATTTTTATTAAAAGCCAATTGAAATATTAAAACTAAGCTGTTGTTTCTTTGCTCAGTTAAACTCCTAAGCTCTGTTTTGTTCTTGGCTGTTTTTCTCTCAGGGGTACCCAATCTCTAATTTCCCCACATTTCCCCCTTCTTGTTTTGCAACATGGCAAGGGCCCTCGTGATGTCTCCATAAAGTTGGGTTTCACTTTGCAATCCTTGGACGCACCTTCAGACTAACATCAAACAGCACAAACTAATTAAAGTCAACACTCCCATGATGGGTCCTCTAAGGGTTTTTTTTCCCCTTACTTTTCCTTTCTTTAATTTATTTTACTCTTAATATTTTGGGAAAAATCTCCAAGAGTTTTAAACCACTTTAGTGGATTAAGATCAGACAGTTTGGCTCGACGCCT